TGTAAACTGGCTGACACCTTGAAACTGACCTTACGATAATTTAAGAATGATATATGGAATTTTGGAAACACTGTATGACAGAAATTTCTACTAAACACAAATGAACTGAAGGTACTTAAAAGTCAAATGATGTCTGAAAACAAAATATCAAGAATACATTTGCTATAGACTATTTTAGAGTAATTACTAGTTAAGCTTTTCTCAAATGATCACTTCAACTCTGCCCATATTTTCATAAAAATCTTTTTGTATTTGGAATGAAGGAAAAAGTGCTTGAATGTTTCTAGTGTTTCTACACTGTTCTCAGATAAAATTACTTAAAAATAGAAAAAAAGTACTTTCTGAAGACTGTCAAAGATTTTTAGATTAGTGATTAAAATTTGGTATTGTGATGAGGCATTTTTCCTTCTCTTTTATGAAGAATTAGAAGAGGGAAAGGCCAGCAGAGTAAATGTTCCTATTTTTGTAAACTGATTCTAAAAGCTTTAGAGTTTTTTTGGAAAAGGAAGCAGAGTGAGGAATGATTTCCAAATGGGGCCTCTGGACTTGCCAGACAAGAAGAATACAACACGAGTAGAGGCTTTCAGCTGAACACGGTCTCCAGTAATGGAGACAGCTTATAAAACCCAAACCTGCCGATACTCTGAGTCATCTTAAGTCCCCAAACAGTTTTGAGGTCCTTTATTTGCCAAAGATAGCCCCTAAATTAAGGTAGTTTCCTGTTTATAGCATATTCTAGGGGGGAAAAAAAACCACATCAAGATAGGTAAAATATTTATTAAGCATTTCACTACATGAAACTTAAAATGAAGTTGCTGAAGAATTGATTTTAAGCACAATTTAAAGGAGAGAGGTAAGATATATTTAGCCCCTTTTCTTCTAGCAATTTAGAAACTTTGGGTATAAGAGATGAGAGCTGTGGGTATAGAGAACTGGAGCAGCCTGAGCAAAATGCAAGGTGGGGAAACCCTCTTTCTTCCCCAGGACTTGCTTACCCTGGCAACTGTAACCTAAAGAAATAACAGCCTCCATACCCTAAGTCGTAACATGTCTTTTCTTCCCTAATCCTCAGGTACCTCACTGGCACTGGAATGTAATCCTTAAACATAGAAATGTATTAGTTTAAAAAAATACACCACCACACTTTCAAAGTCAACTTATTGTGAAGTAAGCATCTCTACTCTTCATTTACTTTTCTTTACTGCCTTTTCAGTAAAAACAATATAGAAACATAAAGGCAAACTTGTAATGGGTTTTTAAAAACACAACAAAAATGAGTACAGGTAATACAATTAACTGGCAAAATTGGTATAAATTGTTTTTCATTAACAATAGGTAAATAGGTAAACTCAATTTGGAAAGACATCCTCTGAAATTGGGTCAGATAACCTACCATTTACAGATAGCTCTGTTTATAACTGAACTAATCTCCAGGAAGTCTAATAAAACTCTCATTAAGGCAGTGTAACTGGATAGTGGCTACAGAGTTCTAAGTATCTCTGGATTCTGACTTGTCAGTTACAGCCTGTGACTTCTAAAAATAATTAGAAGCACTAGTGACATTTAACAGAGACAAACCCACTGTTTACTAGATATAAACAAACTGAAAACTTATTTCCCACCCAAAGTAAAATGGCCCATTGGAAATTGTATAAATTTAACTCCACTGATTAGGTATGAGAAACAAAAAAATCCCCTAAAATGATGACAAATTCTCTTATTTGTTCTATATGCTGAAGTAACTATACCACTCTCGATTTTTCTCTTTAGAGAAAAACACTTTTATTTACTCTAATTAGAACAAAGACCAAGTAAAATCAAACAAATGGAAATACTGTAGCTCTTGAAGCACTCTACAAAAAAAGTTCATGAAAAATAAAGTATAAATAGCTTTGAATTATAGAAAAGAATACACAGTTAAGATTTCCAAAATAGTATTATTTTAGTGAAATCCTTTAAACAGTACTTCTTTTGATAAAAGAAATTCACAAAAAGAGCTAAGGACTCCAAGTAAAATGCTAAAGTATTTCTATGAAGTCTATAAGCTTAAGCAGCAGACAAGGTAAAAACTTGCCCTTTGTAAACAAAATAAAAAGGCTGTCAGGGCTTTTTAAGTCTCCAGTGGTAAAAAAATCCTGCTTTTTTACCACCACTATTCTTGTATGCAACTCCAATTATCAGGCGTTGGAATGAAATGACTAACAGCATAAACAAATGTGTCATTATGTTAGATTGTAACTATTTTATATTACTTGTTTTATACTTAGTTACTTCAAAACAGTGGCAATAATGTTTGGCTCTTGCAAAAAATGACCAAAGATTGTAGAGACAGAAGCCTAGTTCAACATTTTAAAAGTGCCTCAATTTTACAATACCTTTAACAATTTTGGTAATTTTATGGGGGCCTCTAAAGCAAAATCAGGAAGCTTATACACACACAAACTAAAGTGATTAAAGGTCAGTGGATTATGAACTGAACATTATAGTTGTTTTGCATGAAGAATTTCAGTAACATTAACTGAGAATTAATGAGTATGCAACACTATCAGCCCTATGGTTGCCTAAGAGCTAGTAACTTGTAAGGGAGGCATACATACCTATACAAAGCAGATGTGTTAATAACCATTTAAGTGCAAAATTTAAAAGAAATATGGGGAATGGTGAACCTAATTTCGACCAGAGAACTCTTAGATATCAACTTGGAGAAGGATGATTTTGAGTTGGGAGTTAACATAAATATTCTGGAAATAGAGACTGGCAACACTGGAGATACTGGAAGCAGGGGAAGGGAAAGGGAGAAGGTCATTACACTGTTAGCCTAAGAGATGAACCAGTCACTGCCTGACAGTTGTCTTCAGGGATGACCCTCAGGCCTATCCTATAATGGGTTCAGACCCTCTATTTTTACCAGGCTTGTTAAGGTTCCCTGTTCTACTTCCGAAGCTTCTTCCTAGCCTTAACCTGATTTCTACATCCACCTGTCTCACCAGCCCTTGAACTAACCCACCACTATGGATTACATTTTTCCTACCTGCCTATAGGTCCAATCTTTATGAATGAGGAGACAGTTTTAAGAGATTAAGGAATTTGCCAGAACTGATTTATAATACTCCACAACTAGCTTGCCTAAAATTTTAGCACATGTACATTCTTCATATTTTACCATTTAGTGCACAATGGTAAGACAGTCATGTTTAACAGAATTTTTTCTCTGAGGCATGTGATAAGTGTTAAATCCTTTTACAAATAAATTAAAGGAACCAGATTTAGCAAAGACCCAAAGTTGTAATATCCAAACCAGGAAAATGGAAATCTAGTTGGTGAACTGAAAAATAATAAACAAACCAACAAATAAGTCAAAACAAAAAACCTCAATTCCTACAAATAATAACAGCAAATACATTTATAGTGCTTGTGATATGCTGCCAGGCACCATTTCAGGCAATCTGCATATTTAAAACAACCCTCTGAAGTAGGATGACAATTATCCCATTTTACCCTGGAAGGAACTGAGGCACCAAGAATCTACATAACTACTCACTTGAACAAAATACAACAGGTGTAAAATAGGCAAAAACTACCTAATTTACATTGACTTGTCCTACTGGGAAATCCTGCAAGCTAACCAGATACATTTTAGAGATTTAAAAAAAAAATCTATATTCTAAAGGAACTTAAGTTGTATTAAACAATACCTTTTATGCCTAATCGAAGAAATGTTTAAATATTCTACATCTTTTTTTAGTTGCCCCCTAATTGCCAATAATGTGGGACTACTCTAAAAATTTAGTTTAAAAAATAATTTTTTCCTCAGTGAACATTTTCAGATACAAAGGCTAACCTTCAGTATGGAAACATTAAACAAGGAAATTTACATATATGGTCTTTGCTATAATATGGCCTGCATATTACTGTCAGTCACTTTGTTTACTTTGAAAATTCAGTAATCAAAATCATAAATACTATACACTTCTTTCAAATTCCAGAAGGCTAATTTGATTCACATCTCTTGAATTTATAGAGTGTCTTTCTTCCAGGAAGTATAAAGTGATTTATATTCAGTATTTTTATTTTATTTACATTACCCTCTCCAACCCCCTTTTAGAATTATCCTGAGATAAATGGAGTACTGAAAATAAATTTCCCTAAGTGTAGAACTGGTTATTTGGCATCATCTTGAATAAGTGAAACTTTTTTCCTGAATGTGAAAATATGAAGCCTTTTAAATTAGTGCGTTCTGTTGGTCTGAAATGCAATTCTTGTATTTTTGAAATCTCATTGGTTGAAATGAGGCAGAAATTTTAGAAATTAGGTTAAAAAAATATTTTTAGTCAAATGTAAAAATAATGTTTGCTCACACCTAAGGCAGAAATTGAAAGAGCAAAGGAAACTGGAAAGGTAATTTGTATTTACAGTAAGTATATCATTTCACCAAAATCTCTATGAACATGTAACTAAAATCTGAATGGCAACATCAGAGAGGATAAAATTCTCTAGTAGAATCTGAAGATTCTACTAAGGTGTTGCTAATCTAAAAAAAAAGAAAATATACAAAGTAGAAGAATATAATGTATTAGAGTATCAAGATCTTTCCTAACAAACCTATTTTTCTTTGCTGACTAAATTGAAGTAAAATCATTTAATTAGATTTTGAGATATTTAATTCTTTGATAAGCTACAGAAATGTTCATAGGGAATTTCTAAGAAGTAATTGCGGTTTTTCTTGAAATAAGTAATAATACAATATTTATCTTTTTGTTTTAAAGACATGTTTAGGAAAAAAGCAACTTCTCTTTCCCTTTAAGTTAGTGATGGTGGGAATGCAAGAAAGGAAGAATTCTACAGCCTCTTAAAGTCAAATTTTCATCTTATCCTTTGTCCATTTTGATTTCCAAAATATCTCTGTACTTTATTTTTCTTAAATATTTTCTGCTACATTGCTGGAAGGATTGTTTAAGTGCAATATAACGTTAATATTAAGGATGGAGAAACTTAAGGAATTTGACTTTGTATTTCTATTTAATAAGATTTGAAGAGCAAAGTAGAACAGTTTTACCTCCTTGACAACTTGAGCTTGGATAAAATAGAATTTGTATCAAAGAACTAAGGTTTCAGATTTTTAATGCACAATTTTCTTTAGCATTCTAAATAAAATGTGGTTGAAGCTTTTGAAGTCATAAAGCTGGGATGAGAGTGCAGAAAATTTTACTAGAAAAGCTATACTTTGGCAAATACTTTATTGATATTATAAATGAAAATATAGTTGGAGCTTTAAGATGGCACTTAATCTGTTCTTCAGTCTGCCAAATAAATTAGATTCTTTGGAAAAAATTCAAACTTGATATTCAGGCAAAATGAAGATTAACCCTTACTTGTCAGACAGGTCACTTGCCATAAACCAAAGGACCCCTAAAGGTACTTAAGTAGAAGGTGGGCCTCTCAAGGGAGACTCTCTATCTGCAATCTACTCAGCAAAGGTGAACAATTAAACAAAAGCATCTAATTTCCTAAAATGCTAAATTCAGTACAAACATCAAAGGTCTGATCTGCATAAAAAGGCCTTAGTTTTATGTCTTAAGCAGTTGAATTGGCTTTAAATGAAAGACCATAAATATTGTTCACTAATCTTGTACATTATTTACAGAGAAATGTACAATCCTGATGCCTTTGCAATCACTTGTCATTTGGGAATTTCTTAAAGAAAATAAAAAGAGAATGGAAAGATTTGACAGAATCTGACTCCCAGGATAATGTCCAAGGCCACATCTGAGATTTATAGCAAATGAGAAAGGTGTTTTTCAAGTTAAAAGGTACAAGAGTGCTTAATTAGTCTAACCTACTACTCATTTGACAGATGACGATGCAGGTGTCTTGAGGTAAGACGATTTACTCACTCTTGTAATTAAACTGAAAAACCCAGTCTCCTGTCTTTTGTTTCCACTTTATATATTAGTAAGCCATCCACTACCAAAGTATTAAAAGGTTAACTGTGCTTTCCTATGGGGAAAGGAGTGGGAATCAGGGGGAAAAAAGTGGTGTTGGGGGTTCAGGGATGTTTCACTCAAACAACAAACCATATGTATTAATACATAATTTGTTAAGTAACTTGTACAAACTACCAAGCCTAACATCAACAGAACCAAACAGAGATCAGAAATACCATAGTGAAATTGAATGTTAGTGTGGAAATTTAAGTTACGTCTTCAAGGAAACAGCAGACCACTGAAAACTGGATTTCAGTTTCTGTGTGCTCTTAATGACTAGTTCTATATGTTTCTCTACACCTTGAAAAATATTTCAATATAATACATATGCAGTCTAGTAATCTAGCTTCTCAAGTTTCAAAAAGGCAGATTTTTTTAAACTTATGCTACAAAAATATGTATCTATATATATCCCCAAGTTATATATTTCTAAATTCTGTGGTGATAAAGTGTGCATAATTTCATTGTTGGAACTGCCTTCTTGCACGGTCTTAAACAGTTACTTCTATACAGCATAAAATTTGCATAATTCTTTACAGTAAAATCTGTTGAAACTCACTTTGACAGAAATACTTTTATCTATCATTAGAATTGAAAGAAACAGATTTCAGTAAGAAAAGTACAGGGTGGGTCAAGATCTTTTTTAGAAAAATATACTGTATATAATACATCTTGAAAATTACACAGACTATATGCTTTTATTTAATGTGAAGGCACAACTTTAACATAGTTAAAAGCAAATGTATTTCAACTATTTATGCTGTAATTGTCAGTACCAGCTCTTAAAAATATATATATCTGCCATCATATCACTGAAGTTTCTTTCAGACTGTCAATTCAAAGGTCAGTTTAAAAAGTTGAACTCTATTTGTAGGAAAATCAATTGACACATTATTGCAGGTCCACATAATATTACTGTTGGGCAATCTGTTCACTAGCAGTTACAGGACTTTCTTCATTTGTAGCATAGTCCAGATGGTCCATCATCTAGGCATAAATAAAAGATGTTAGGAAATGTACATTTTCAATTTGCCCTCAATATTCACTGATTTGGCAAAAAGATTCTTGGTTTTTGTCTTCGTTTTTTAAAAGACAGTGTGCATTCTTTTAGGAGCAATGTACTGGCTCAACATTCCAGCTCCTAAGGACACATGGTCAAGGCGACATCGAACCTCTCAGGAAGCCCTATCATTTGATTCAGGGACAATATGGTAACTACTTTCTCTGGATCTTCCACTGTTGCCATTTTCCAATATAAATATTGCCCTTCATGGCAGTGGGAACTCCACCACAAAAGGAAGATATTCCTGATGCTACTCCAGGGCACTATTCCAGGCAGATGCCTATTCCTAGAGATGGAAAAACTGAAAATGGCCCCCCAAGTCACTGTGAGAAGACCTGCTGGTTCAGGGCAGTGTAAACTGGCTGACACCTTGAAACTGACCTTACGATAATTTAAGAATGATATATGGAATTTTGGAAACACTGTATGACAGAAATTTCTACTAAACACAAATGAACTGAAGGTACTTAAAAGTCAAATGATGTCTGAAAACAAAATATCAAGAATACATTTGCTATAGACTATTTTAGAGTAATTACTAGTTAAGCTTTTCTCAAATGATCACTTCAACTCTGCCCATATTTTCATAAAAATCTTTTTGTATTTGGAATGAAGGAAAAAGTGCTTGAATGTTTCTAGTGTTTCTACACTGTTCTCAGATAAAATTACTTAAAAATAGAAAAAAAGTACTTTCTGAAGACTGTCAAAGATTTTTAGATTAGTGATTAAAATTTGGTATTGTGATGAGGCATTTTTCCTTCTCTTTTATGAAGAATTAGAAGAGGGAAAGGCCAGCAGAGTAAATGTTCCTATTTTTGTAAACTGATTCTAAAAGCTTTAGAGTTTTTTTGGAAAAGGAAGCAGAGTGAGGAATGATTTCCAAATGGGGCCTCTGGACTTGCCAGACAAGAAGAATACAACACGAGTAGAGGCTTTCAGCTGAACACGGTCTCCAGTAATGGAGACAGCTTATAAAACCCAAACCTGCCGATACTCTGAGTCATCTTAAGTCCCCAAACAGTTTTGAGGTCCTTTATTTGCCAAAGATAGCCCCTAAATTAAGGTAGTTTCCTGTTTATAGCATATTCTAGGGGGGAAAAAAAACCACATCAAGATAGGTAAAATATTTATTAAGCATTTCACTACATGAAACTTAAAATGAAGTTGCTGAAGAATTGATTTTAAGCACAATTTAAAGGAGAGAGGTAAGATATATTTAGCCCCTTTTCTTCTAGCAATTTAGAAACTTTGGGTATAAGAGATGAGAGCTGTGGGTATAGAGAACTGGAGCAGCCTGAGCAAAATGCAAGGTGGGGAAACCCTCTTTCTTCCCCAGGACTTGCTTACCCTGGCAACTGTAACCTAAAGAAATAACAGCCTCCATACCCTAAGTCGTAACATGTCTTTTCTTCCCTAATCCTCAGGTACCTCACTGGCACTGGAATGTAATCCTTAAACATAGAAATGTATTAGTTTAAAAAAATACACCACCACACTTTCAAAGTCAACTTATTGTGAAGTAAGCATCTCTACTCTTCATTTACTTTTCTTTACTGCCTTTTCAGTAAAAACAATATAGAAACATAAAGGCAAACTTGTAATGGGTTTTTAAAAACACAACAAAAATGAGTACAGGTAATACAATTAACTGGCAAAATTGGTATAAATTGTTTTTCATTAACAATAGGTAAATAGGTAAACTCAATTTGGAAAGACATCCTCTGAAATTGGGTCAGATAACCTACCATTTACAGATAGCTCTGTTTATAACTGAACTAATCTCCAGGAAGTCTAATAAAACTCTCATTAAGGCAGTGTAACTGGATAGTGGCTACAGAGTTCTAAGTATCTCTGGATTCTGACTTGTCAGTTACAGCCTGTGACTTCTAAAAATAATTAGAAGCACTAGTGACATTTAACAGAGACAAACCCACTGTTTACTAGATATAAACAAACTGAAAACTTATTTCCCACCCAAAGTAAAATGGCCCATTGGAAATTGTATAAATTTAACTCCACTGATTAGGTATGAGAAACAAAAAAATCCCCTAAAATGATGACAAATTCTCTTATTTGTTCTATATGCTGAAGTAACTATACCACTCTCGATTTTTCTCTTTAGAGAAAAACACTTTTATTTACTCTAATTAGAACAAAGACCAAGTAAAATCAAACAAATGGAAATACTGTAGCTCTTGAAGCACTCTACAAAAAAAGTTCATGAAAAATAAAGTATAAATAGCTTTGAATTATAGAAAAGAATACACAGTTAAGATTTCCAAAATAGTATTATTTTAGTGAAATCCTTTAAACAGTACTTCTTTTGATAAAAGAAATTCACAAAAAGAGCTAAGGACTCCAAGTAAAATGCTAAAGTATTTCTATGAAGTCTATAAGCTTAAGCAGCAGACAAGGTAAAAACTTGCCCTTTGTAAACAAAATAAAAAGGCTGTCAGGGCTTTTTAAGTCTCCAGTGGTAAAAAAATCCTGCTTTTTTACCACCACTATTCTTGTATGCAACTCCAATTATCAGGCGTTGGAATGAAATGACTAACAGCATAAACAAATGTGTCATTATGTTAGATTGTAACTATTTTATATTACTTGTTTTATACTTAGTTACTTCAAAACAGTGGCAATAATGTTTGGCTCTTGCAAAAAATGACCAAAGATTGTAGAGACAGAAGCCTAGTTCAACATTTTAAAAGTGCCTCAATTTTACAATACCTTTAACAATTTTGGTAATTTTATGGGGGCCTCTAAAGCAAAATCAGGAAGCTTATACACACACAAACTAAAGTGATTAAAGGTCAGTGGATTATGAACTGAACATTATAGTTGTTTTGCATGAAGAATTTCAGTAACATTAACTGAGAATTAATGAGTATGCAACACTATCAGCCCTATGGTTGCCTAAGAGCTAGTAACTTGTAAGGGAGGCATACATACCTATACAAAGCAGATGTGTTAATAACCATTTAAGTGCAAAATTTAAAAGAAATATGGGGAATGGTGAACCTAATTTCGACCAGAGAACTCTTAGATATCAACTTGGAGAAGGATGATTTTGAGTTGGGAGTTAACATAAATATTCTGGAAATAGAGACTGGCAACACTGGAGATACTGGAAGCAGGGGAAGGGAAAGGGAGAAGGTCATTACACTGTTAGCCTAAGAGATGAACCAGTCACTGCCTGACAGTTGTCTTCAGGGATGACCCTCAGGCCTATCCTATAATGGGTTCAGACCCTCTATTTTTACCAGGCTTGTTAAGGTTCCCTGTTCTACTTCCGAAGCTTCTTCCTAGCCTTAACCTGATTTCTACATCCACCTGTCTCACCAGCCCTTGAACTAACCCACCACTATGGATTACATTTTTCCTACCTGCCTATAGGTCCAATCTTTATGAATGAGGAGACAGTTTTAAGAGATTAAGGAATTTGCCAGAACTGATTTATAATACTCCACAACTAGCTTGCCTAAAATTTAGCACATGTACATTCTTCATATTTTACCATTTAGTGCACAATGGTAAGACAGTCATGTTTAACAGAATTTTTTCTCTGAGGCATGTGATAAGTGTTAAATCCTTTTACAAATAAATTAAAGGAACCAGATTTAGCAAAGACCCAAAGTTGTAATATCCAAACCAGGAAAATGGAAATCTAGTTGGTGAACTGAAAAATAATAAACAAACCAACAAATAAGTCAAAACAAAAAACCTCAATTCCTACAAATAATAACAGCAAATACATTTATAGTGCTTGTGATATGCTGCCAGGCACCATTTCAGGCAATCTGCATATTTAAAACAACCCTCTGAAGTAGGATGACAATTATCCCATTTTACCCTGGAAGGAACTGAGGCACCAAGAATCTACATAACTTGCCTAAGGCCCCACGGCTAATCATTAACAAACCAAAGTCCAGACGGAAGCAGTCTGGCACCAGACTCCAGGCTTTTCATTAAAAGTTTATAAAATTACAGGTTATTTTATGTTCTGAATGTCTTTACATATGAAATAATGACACCGCACTACAAAAGTGAGAGGTGTACAACCCACATTGTCCTATCTTTTCAGACACATTTAAATGGATATTCCTACAATCGCCTTACTTAGCTTCTGTGTCATGTGGTAAAGGCCCTGGAGTCTGCCCTTATGCAGGCTATTTACTGCTGTTTCTGTCCAGCTGCAATGATCATTCCCTTTAAAGGTAGTTGCTGTGAAGCAGAATCATAATTTTTTAAAGATCATGATTTTTAAGAATGAAATTTGGATGGTCCACAGCATTGCATCTGTTCATAGGGAATAAAGATGCATCTCTTAGTTGAATTCCTTCCTTACCTAGCATCCCTCTTCCTCAGTAAACACCATGAAGACAGAAAGGAGAAAAGGTGCTAATACCAGAACAGAAAAAAACAAGCTGGGGAAAATTTCCAAAGAAATGTCATCTCTAAATCATCAACTATTTGTTGTGTGTGTTGGTGTAAAAAGATCTGGCAGCTCCACACAAAACCATTCAAAGTAGCTGCCGCTTCATGGTAGGGGTGTGTGTGTATGTGTAATAGTTAGAAAAGGACCTGCGTTTACTATGTTTACTTTAGACAATTCTGTATTATATGTTTATAAAAGACAAACATCTACAGCTTTGTAATTAAAACACTAAAAGAAAAAGAATACAGTATGTAAAAGAGTTAGAATGCATGTAAAACTTTTAATTCATTAACTGTCAATAACATTAATCTGTAAGACATTATAGTAGAACAAAGATGATCAGAATTACTCTGATGAACATCTTTTCACATCAGTTTTGCCCACGTTTTTAATCATTTTCCAGATAATCCCCTGAAGAGAAATTACCAGGTGAAAGGAAATGTTCAAGTATGGTACATGCAAATGAGAGTGTATATAAGTGGTGGGACTATGAGTGGACTTAATTTTCTTGTACTTTTCCACATTTTCAGTTTTCTACAACAAGCAGAGATTGTTATAATAAAGTACTTTAAAATCCATATTAAAGGGGAAGGAAAATTTTGTAAAGATAAAATGCTGGTGATGAAAAATAACAAGGAACATACTTAATTCTGTAAGATAGCAAATGTGTTCTAACAGTCCCCAATTTAAATTCTAACCATTTTAAAGATATTGTCAATGCTAAAATTGCTTGCTCACAGTGCTCACTCATTTACTGAGTATGCTAATGATATTCCCAAGTTTCTGTCTCCTGCATATCAGGAGACATTTATACAACTGCCCAGTATTTCTCTCTTCCGGTGGGCCTCCAGGTACTTCAAAATGTCCAACATTGAATTCTTGTCCAATATTTAACACATTCAACAACGAATTCATTTTCCTCCTCAAACCTGTTGTCCTTCTTTATCCCTGAATTGTATCACCATCCTCCTTTTCAGTTACTCAAGCCAGAAAAGAAACCTGGACCCCACTTCCTTCTCCTACCTCTGGATCAAATCTATTACCAGATCCCATTAATTATGCCTCTAAATTTCTCTTGACTGCCACTACTCTCAACCTCACTGCCTCACTAATTCTGGCTACTACCCTTTCTCATTCCAATAGCTGCCTCAAATTTTGCTTCCTCCTTCAATCTCTTTTCTACAATTCTTAAAACCCTTAAATGGTCTCCAATGCCCTTGGGATAAAGTCGAAACTCTTTAATGTGACTTAGAAGACTGTACAAGCTCTTCCCTTGCTTCTTTCTCCAGTTTTCATTTCCTACAGCTCCCCTACTCTTACTCAATATTGTAGTTATCCTAAATTTCATTTCTGTTCTTAGAACATTCCATGCTCTTTTCCCTCTGGACTATGAAGACATGATTTCCTCAGTACAGAACAGATGGCTTGGTCTTAATGTCTCAAGATAAATTTAACACTCTTTAAGAAGCCTTCTCCCAGCCATCTCGGACTGTCTTGAAACCATAAGCATTGGGTGCCCTACCGCCAGCTTCCATGGCATCCTACTGTAACACTCAGTGCTCTAATACATTTGTCCCACGTGCCTGTTAGGGACTCTATCTGCTTGCTCCACTAGACTCTAACTTTCAAGAGGCCGTGAGAGTAGGCCTGTTTCTAACTTGTTCTTCTTGTATCATCAGCACCGAAAATAGTACCTGACTCATAGAACTGCTTGATAAACATTTATAAATGAAGAAATATAAAACTATTTTAAAAACATGACGACAAAGAACACTTTGTGGGATGTGACTTTCAAAGGCCAGAAGTAGAGTGTGTCTTGAAGGATGTATTTTTATTTTAAAAAAATCTATAAAAAGAAGAAACTCTATGTGGGTGTCCTTTTCATGGAAAAGTTACAAGCTGTCTTACCAGTTTAGTCAAGAACCCTGTGGCCATAAACTAATTCTGTGTGCAGAAGTATCAGTTGAGACAATGGCATTGTGAGGTAGGCAAGGCAGGTATTATTCTTTTATTCAAATCTCAAAAGAATTATAAGACATACCCCAAAGAATTCTAGATCTGTGCTTTTTCTAATTATTGGAGTCTAACTCAATGTGTTAATCACCTCTTGTTACATAAAGATGACACTACAGACCAACCACATGATGGATCTGAACTTTGAACTGTTTATCTACTAACAGAATTATAGCCATCCACCCAAAGTCTCTATTTTTGTTCATGTGACCACTGACAAACATGTATGAGCGTGGATGGACGAGGGGAGTTTGTTTTAATAGGGCAAAGCAGAACTACCTGCCTCATAAAGGGATCAATGCCATAACCCTGACCTCAATAGGCTAGGGTTTCACAATGCTCTTTAATTTCAGTGCAAATAAACTTTACAGGAATACTAAGAACATTTAGGAAAAGAAGAAAATGGTTTTTACTTTAATGAAGAAACAACTCAAACATAACATTTTGGTAGCAAGATTTTCTCTGTTCTAGAAATTGCACATAAAAGTCAATCTTGACCTATTTAAATCTGGAGTACCCTATTTAACATAGGTCAATTTAGATTCTGGAGAAAGTACACTTTCTATCTGCAAAACTTTAGTTCTCTTACTATAAATAGCTAATGTCAGAGTCTCAAAATTTAGTACCTAAAACTAGACTTTAATCTTTTGAAGTCTCCTTTTGTGTGGATTTTGAAAACTCATGTTGAAACGCTGTTTCAGTTTTCCCTGATACCCTCCTACTGCTTCTTGGTAGTTTTACCTTGAATCACCAGGACTTTGGCATTAGATTGCAGTGGGGATGAGAACTGATGATGCAGCAGGTGGACAGTAAGAGGGCAGTAGTGGAAAAAACTTAGGAGATCCTGACAGTCTCCAAGGTAACTTAGGGGCACGTATTAGCTTTGATATTTAACAGGCAGTTCCCAAAGTTAATCAGTGAACTATGGCATAAAATAACTTGGTAACCAAAATATAAGCACATACCTGATAGCCATTGCCCTTCCAGAACTTTTTCATTTCCTTACGCCTCCATGCAACAATGGAGGCAGTAATAAGCGTGCAAGGTACTAAATAGAGGAGAGCAGGTTGCCCCTTTTTCATCAGCACCAGAACAACAAATGTAAGTATCATGCCAATAGCATAGGCTGCAAGAAGAATACCAAGTATTAGTCATTTCTACAGGCTTCCAAAGGTGGATTTTAACTGCCTCACTGAAGTACTGGTTTTCAAATATTTCTGAAGATGTTTTTGCCCTATGACTGCTTTTCATAATTTCATTATTTTCCTAGACAGTAATTGGGAATGACAGTCCACAAAGCTTTTGAAAATTTGGAAACTGGTATTTCAATTATAATTATGCTAATCACTAGTCACTGATAAAGATAATAATACAAGAAAGTCTCAATTAGGGATGTTGAGTAGTTCCATATTTTAGATAATTAAAATCTGTACCTGTAGGTACTAAAGGATGCTTTGAAAAATATCCCTAATATTGATTATATACTTCTTGGGCTTCTTCAACAAGTGCATACCAAAACTCATTTGATCTCAATGACTCAGGGTCCCATTATGAACACAGGGTCTTAGAACACTTGCGCACGAAGTGCCTTTACAGACAAGTTAATCTAACTCCTCCTTTTATAGGTGAGGCAATGGAGGTCCATGTAAGTTCCATGAGTTGCCCAAAGTTACATAGATTTGACAGTCCTATTGTCTGCCTTTTCTTTCATTCTGTCACCTGATATCTGGACTCTATTATGTTAATGCCCTTACAGAGTACCAAACTTAATGGCCTCAGGCCATTTTTCTTATTTCTTTAAAGGCTTTTTTTTTCCTTTCTCTTTTTCATTTTTTCACTCAGCTGCTCTTTCTTGCTGTCAGGTACCTGCCAATACTCTTTGCTACTGCTAATGGACACTTCTAATTTACTGGATTTAATTTCACTGTGGACTTGAAAACCTTGCTAGAATAGTAGCTACATGGCTCTGGTGCAGGCCATTTAGCTAAGAATAAAGAACTTTGGTGCATGGACTTTGAAACATCTACGATATGTTCACAAGTAGTATTTTTTGGCTGACTTCCTGTTCTTGTGTGTTCTCACTAGAAACAGGACTACGTCTGCTGTCCCAGGATAATATAGTATTGTGCCATAAAGTCACGTACAGAAATAGTTCTAAATACAGTATTTTTTAAAAATCCAGTATTATACAATTTACTGACTACTTGTGTGCCAGGTGCTCTAATAAACGTTTTATATATTCAGAACCTAATGTTTTTCTCTCAAATATAATTTCTTTTTTAAACCTCAAAAACCTTGTGATATAGAAAGTAAAGTATAAATATCCCTTTTTGACAGAAAAAAGCTTGTCTTATTAATTAATGGTAAAGAATTAGAATCTAGGACTTCTAATTTTTAGACTTCTACCTTTTCTTACAGACAATATGAAAAAAAGAGAAAACAAAAAATTACCAATTGTGGAGGAAACATAGTATATAGAAGAAGAACCAGTCTGAACATCAAATCTTCTACAATATGCAATCAATAAGCCTAAAAAAACAAACAAACCAAAAAAGCCCCCCTTACATTATTTAAAAAAATAACAGCAACACAAATTCAACTGTTAATTATGGCACTAGTAAGTACATGCTGCATTGTTTTTAACCTTCCTTTTTGCATCAGAAGAACATTAAAGTACCTCAAATTCTGATAAAATTTTATATGCTTTTTTTAAAACTTAATACCACATTTTAAACATTTTCTCAAGCCACTAAACAACCTTTAAATACATGATTTTTATTAGCTGCTTAATATTCCATGTTATGGAGAAAACTTTTATATTTCTGTGGTAGCAGTTGTAATGCCTCCTCTTTCGTTTATAATTTTATTGATTTGGGTCCTAAGCTTGTTAGACTAGCTAAAGTTTTGCAAATTTTGTTTAACTTTGTAAAGAACTAACTCTTGGTTTGTTAGTCTTTTCTATTGTTTTCCTGTTCTCTATTTCTGTTCTACACTATTACTCGCTTCCTTCTGCTAACTTTGGGCTTAGTTTGTTCTTTTTCTAATTCCTTTAGGTGTTAAGTTAGATGGTTTATTTGAGATCCTTCTATTTTCTTGATGTAGGTGTTTATTGCTATAAGCTTCCCTCATAGAACTGCTTTTGTTGCATTCCCTAAGTTTTGAAATGTGCTTCTCTTTTCATTTGTCTCAAGATACTTTATTTCTCTTTTAGTTTTTTCTTTGATCCAATGGTCGTTCATAAGTGTGTTGTTTAACTTCCATGTGTTTGTAAATTTTCCAGTTTTCTTCTTGTTATTGATTTCTAATTTTATACTATCAGAGAATATACTTGCTATGATTTCAATCTTAAATTTGCTAAGATTTGTTTCGTGGCCTAACATATGATCTGATCTATTCTAGAAAATGTCTTGTGTGTCCTTGAGAAGTATGTGCATTCTTCTGTTGTCAGATGGAATGTTCTGTATGTCTGTTAGGTCCACTTGGTCTATAGTGTTAAGGAAAAATTTTTAATGTATCATTAAAAAAATGTATTGAAAGGGTGTCAAGAAAGGCAATTTCAAATTTCAAAGAAGTCTTCCTTCCTAGCAGAGTAAAAGTATTTGGAATTTAAATATGAAGTGTTCAAATAACAATGAAATATAAGCTCTCATTTGAAAACATGCAAGTACACAGAAGCAATCCCTTTTATTACCAATTTCCCTTAAGAGTTGAACCTTTCCAAAGAAGAAATCTCAGATTATACTTAGGAAACACTATTTATTATAAAACAGACTGACATTTAACTACTTAAATATCATAAAATAATTTTTTTATCTTTTTGTTTGAATTAATTAACTTTGATCCTTACATAACTAATCAACTAAGTTCCTTATTATTTTTACTGTATTTGCTACTTAATCACATTTCTATGTGTTATAAAAAAGTGGTGCTTCTCTCCCCTAAATAAGAATTTAGCTTTCAGAGTTAACTCTGTGCTTAGAGGAAATATTTCTGTTTGGAACCTTCAACATTTACTTCAGGAATGTAGTATTTGTATACTGTTTTCCAGTTCTATGCTAAGTGCTATATAATTAAATTTATTCTACAGGTACCCCAGTGAGGAAAATAATGCAGAACTGCAATCACTGTCAGAGAAGGCACACTAGGAGAAGGTGACAGATTCTACCACATGGTGTACTTTTTGTATTCTAGTGCCCGATAAAAGATGGTGTTCCACTGTTTCTCCTCGAGCATGACCTTGTCTAGTGTTCTTAAGGCACGACTCTTATTTTAAAATAAAAGTAATAGAAACTAATACATTTGGTATAATTAATTCAACTTTTAAGAGTTTTACACACACACACACACACACACACACACACACACACACACACAGTTTCTTGGGGAAGAAAGACAATCTGACACTAGTTGCTTTCTCTATCTGAGCCATGGGAGATACACTTTGGTTATTACCATTGGGCTTTATCTTCTGCCCCTCAAAATGCTTTTCTTCTATCTTTGCCATTGATCCCACCTTTAGCCAGAAATAGTTAATACAGACTGGGTAATTTTTAATGGATACCATACATTCGACAGTTTTAAACCATCAGTATATTTTCCCTAAAGTTATTACAAACAATTGCTTACCTGGTACAATAATGTCTCCAAAACCCAATACTGAAACTGGCATGAGACAAACACTCATTACTGAGAAATAGGCCAGCTTTGGTACCCTGATGACTACTGGTAACTGTAAATAGAAAAAAAAAAAAAGGGCCACCAATAAACCTCTTAGGAATCTTTACCCATAACTTTAGAAAGGGAAAGAATGACATTAGAATAGTTAAAAATTTTTTAAATTGACATTTTAGAAGAACTTCAAGTCAGAGAACATAAACTAGACATACATATACTCTGAATGCATAGAAAGCTTGAAAGAAATAGATATGTAGTTCTGGAAAAATGAAACCCACACACATGTAGGGTTAAAAGAATTAATCCAGTATCCCCACATCTAACCTTATTTTCCCATTTTACCCAAAACAGGACTCAGGCCTTGAAAGAGGTTTTTTTTTGTTTTTTGGGATTTTTTTTTTTGGCAATCTGGATTTTTCCCCCCAAAGAAGAGTCTTGTCTCAGAGGGTATGATTTAAAGTCCAATGAACATATCTGAAATACAATCCTTACTTTCTCATGGGGAGCTGAGGGTTGAGCAGTGGCTTCCACCAAGTTTCCATCATTCTAGGATGAAACCCAAGTCAATAGGTATTTGATAATTTGAATAACTAAGAAAAGGGCTGTATTTTGTGAGAAAATAGGTTTTTACAATACCTTAACATGCACTACATGACCAATGAATTACACAGGAAGGCAAAATTATCAACTGGACACACATACATACACTGGCAGCTATTTCTATTTAATTGCCATCCCTACCTTTTCATTATTTCCAAAAGGTCCAGCTGCAAGTTCAACCATGATGCTCTCACCATTCTAAAATTGAGAAAGAAGATGAAATAAATTATCCAATCATTTAAAGAGAATAATCTGCCAGTACTCAAGAATGATTTGACCCCATGGCTTATGGCCTACTGTAAACTGATGAAACATGGGCTATAGACTGCTTTTTCCTAAAAAAGTCTCTGCAGATAGCAAAAATTGGAGTCATCTAAAACAAAATTCACCTACCACACTCCTTCCTTTGTCAGAGCCCAATAATTTACCAGAAGCTAATAGACAAACCACAGACAGATTATTCAAGTGGAAGCTTTGAGCACTGATTTGTACTAACAACCAAATGTCTAGCAGTTTTAATGGGCTATTAAGTGTTTTTAGTTATGTTGTGCCATATACAATGTGTCATTACTCATATTTAGCAATAACAATGAATAGGGACACAAAATATTATAAACATTTTTATATTTAGATATGTAATACACATTGGTAACTTTACTTGAATAAATACACATTTGCATTTATGGCTACTCACCACAATAACAAAACAATGAAGCCAAACTTGAAAAGACCTAGCCCTAAAGAACTTGAGAACCTTCTCTAGCCTGACTCCTGTCCAATTTCAGCCCTGCCTGCTTTTTATGTCCCAATCAAAACAATAACCTTAGCTGAATTTCTGGCTAAGCTGAGTGTCTGGCTATGGTCTTTTTATGTGGGCTGTGTGAGGAGTTCATTGAAAAGTTCTCTCCTGACAGCCAAGTCTGTTGTGCAGAGGGAAACATTTTGAGGTAGTGAGTTAAGAGTGCATAAGCACCCATCTTATGCTTCACATTATGATAAATATATTACCAAAACAGGTAGTGGGAAGATAAAAAAAACCCTGAATTTTAGGAAAATTTGATTGTCTAACTGTAATATTTTCCATGTGGGTGGAGTTCATAGGAGAAATTACGAGTATTTTTAAAAGGACTTCACTGATACCTGAGCTAAGAAGAAAGAAGGATAAAATTCCTAGCTACAGAAATCTTTACCTCATGTTAAGCTTCAGATTACAGAAGGGTTAAGTCACAGGAATTTAGGAAAAATAAGCTAATATTCAATATTCTTCCTTATAGCAAACTCCTGTGATGTAATTCCATTACGAGATAAAGAGTTCATTTTGGTTCATTTTCTAATTGTTATTCAAAACAGTTAACTGAAGACAGTGTTTGACATCCTCTCACACATTCAAAGACATCTGAGTAACTATCATTTGTAAGATACTGTATCAGGTACCATGGTGGATGAAGAAAAATGAGGATAGGCTATTACTGCCTTTACTCCTATAGAGACCAGCTTTGCAAACTCAGAAGTCTAATATCAGGTCAAGAACACATTTACAATGTCTAATATTTAATCCTTGAAATGCTCAGTGAAAAACCACAAAAATCAGAAATTATGTATTGGATTTTCACTTTGAGTTACCTACTAAAATCAGGTCTACAGCCTTAATAAAAACAAACCAGACTGAAAAGAGTTAAAGAAAATCTGCAACAGTGAACTCCAAAAAGCACTTCAATCTTTTCCACCAGATCAGATTACTAGAAATCACATTCCTTGTCAGTGGGAACTAAGATGGAAAAAAAGATGAGAAATTCCCAAAGCCCAAAAAAAGGGGGCTTGAAGACATTATTACCTGCACCTTTAAAATGCTGAAACTTTTGTGTGAGGAATGGATATAGTTTGCTGGCAGACATGACTGGTGTTTATGAAGTGATACAAGTGTTAAAACAGAATGGAAATTAAAAAAAAAAAAGTTTAGTTATATCGTATACCTATATCCACTGTGTAATACATGTATCATATGCTACAACTATCTGCTGACTTATGAAAATGGCTTTGTTGAGAATTCTTTGCTTTCATTACGGGATCTCTGATGGAATGACTTACAGAAACGTTTTTTGAACCAAATAAATTGACAGAAGCTAAAAGAGCTTTACCCAGTATTTTTTAAAAAAGTCTTAATATAATAATTTTTATTATAATCTATAATCCTAGCTCTATACTTGATTAAAAATTTTTTTTAATTTTGGTATCATTACTCTACACTTACATGAGGAACATTATGTTTACTAGACTCCCCTCATCACCAAGTTCCCCCCACATTCCCCATTGCAGTCACTGTCCATCAGCGTAGTAAGATGTTGTAGAATCACTACTTATCTTCTCTGTGTTGTACAGCCCTCCCCGTACCCCCACACACATTATACATGCTAATCATAATGCCCCCTTTCTTTTTTCCCCCCTCTTATCCCTCCCTTCCCACCTGTCCTCCCCAGTCCTTTTCCCTTTGGTAACTGTTAGTCCATTCTTGTAGTTCTATACTTTTTAAGGTTACTTTTGCTCAGTGAAGTTAATGAGTCAAGTGGCTCATTATTAAGGCACAGAAAGGTGATAGTAAAATGGTTTGAAAGGTAGCTTAACCTGACGCAGTTAACTACATTTGTTACCTACTTGCAATTTTAGCTGCTCAATAGGACACATGTTTGTTTTAAACCATAGCAAATATCAGAAGTACAGAGTTTTACAGTGATTTCACAGATGGTAGAGGCTAAAGATGGATTAAGAACGAATGGGGAAAAAAGTAGTGATTATAACATCACTATAAATTATAAATATGTGAGAGTGACAAAGGATAAAGAAATGACATAAAGTTATAAAGCAAGATTCACAATGGAGAAGGTGGGAGAATTAAGCAATAATTAATAAAATATTCATGAGATAGGAATAAGGACCAGGCAGAAGAACTGGGCAAATATGATGGACTACCACTCACCCAACACCTCTTCCTCATTCTGGCAATGGCACTGCCATTTCACTGAGGAGCTAGTAGCAGAGCGGGGAACAGAAGACCTAGAAGCTGCCAGCTACTATGATTGTACTCTCATGGAAAAAGCCACTCTGAGACAATGAACAAATGGACAGAAGCAGAAAAGGAGGGCAGGTGCTCCTATGGTGAATTTCTCCTGAGGCCAGCCCCATTCTGGCCTCTACACACAGGTTGGATAGATAGGACCTTTTTGGTATAGGCAGGTTAGGTTGAGTTCTGTCAGTTCCAAGTAAGGGGATGGAATGCTAGCAGTACTCCTCACAGGATGGATTAGGAAAGAAGCACAGAGGGCTACATGACTTGCCCAGGGTTACAAGGTTGCAGAGCTACACTTTAGGTCTTCAGATTTCTGGTGTGGTGCTCTTTCTTAGTCTCAAATTAGGGCTACAGAAATCAAAGTAGTAAATGACCCATTTTCATTCTTTTTGCTGTCTATATATTGTCTATAGCAAACATTTATTCTTTTATAATATGAAAAGTTACTTTAAAAAGGGCCAGAAGAAAATTTATAGACATTCTCATGTTTATACCAGTTAGGAAGGAAGATATTTTTTATTTAGCAGAATGACTCTATTAAAAGGTCAATTTCAAGGACAATTTTCTTAAGAGAATTAGAGCCCACTCAATGGTAAACATCTACAAAATCAATAACCTAAGAGCAATGTTTAAGATTCTCATCTTTTAGCATGTTTCTCATGGATTGAAAAAATATCATACCTTTGTGATGAATGGTGTTAGGAAAACAAAAAATACATCATAGAGGAGCAGAAGACCTAGAAGTATCACACATGACTGTTGAAAAAAGAAACAAAGTTAAAAGTCAAACTTTCTATATCTAAATTAAGAGATTATATTATTTTGCAAGTACAAATAAACACGAACATATATTTGAACATTATTTTTTAAGGCATTTAATGGTTATTACTATGTGTAGTTTAATTCTACATTATCATATCGAAACTTTTACCTTCTTTATCCCATTCTTTTTAAGAAAAAAAAAAGATCACCGAATTGAAGAAATAAATATTTTTCTGATATTTAGTCCTGTTAGGAATTGATGAATTTGGCATATTATATGAATGATTAAAAATATTTTAGCTAACAAATTAGTGTTCTCTAGAGCTGGGGATTCGACTAGTTCTGACTGCAAAAGGGCAAACGGAATTTTTGAAAAGATGAGAAATGTTCTACAACTGATTGAGGTGGTGATTATAAAGTTATACATTTTAAAAATTCCAATGAACTATACATTTAAAATGGGCGTATTTTATGTAAATTATATCTTAATCAAATTGTTTTTAAAAGAAAAAATTATTTTACCTAGCAAAGTAGTGAACTTTACCTTAAAGTTGGGTAACTTCAGTGTTTTAATTAAATTCAGACAGAAAGCAATCCCCAAGACATCCTGTAAAATCCAAGCCCACCTAAAACCAAAATAAGTTACTCTATTATTTAGAGTTATTGGTAGATGGAACTTTTCAAATGAAAATATCACTAAAGTAATACTGTTCAACTGCTATCATATGACCATTCTATTATTAAGCAGCAATTATAATGATAAAAAAACCTCTCATATTCTTCATACTTAGTAATTTATTATCCTAGTAGAATAATGAATACTATTACACTAAGAAAAAGTTGAAAGGCTCCTCAGAAGGATCTGTATCAAAGGGAATATTTATCTTTAATCTTTGTACACACACACACACACACACACACACACAGTCTCTTCTTAGAAAGGAAGCTCATAACAAAGGATATTGGTGTTAATATATGTCCAGATAGCTAAATCATAAAAGAAATGAGAGCTATATAACCTATTGTATAAGACACTGATATGCATAATTATCAATTGATTATCACACTTGAAGCTTCCTAAAATCATATGAACCTTGCTGTCAAATTTTAGGCCATTAAATCCTTTTGGGCTTTAATAATTTTATTAATAAACCATTAAATAATATTAAATATATATTTTTCTGGTTAGTGTTCCTGCAAATGGACAGACACCTCTATATTTTCTCTATCTCCTTCTTTCTTACTTGAAGGGCAGCATACTCTAGATACTCTTTTGCAGTTTGCTTTATTCAGTTAAAATATATATCCTGGAAAACACTGCATATCAATTCCTAGAGATCCTCTTTATACTTTACTACTACATTGTACTTCATTGTGTGGCTATGCCATAATGACGCCAATTTCGTGGTTTTGATGCCTATTTCAGCTTCGATGGTTAAATCATATTCATATTTCCTTCTCTACATGACCTTAAACCCATCAACATAAGATTTGCTTATTTAAGAATTTATTTAGCTTGTTTCAAGACTAAAGTTTGGGATAAAAACAAAAACAAACAAACCCATAATAATCACAATGAATAATTATCAAGGTGAGATATAAAATAATCCTTCTTTAATCTAATCCAAAATATGAGCACTCATACCTATCTTCATTCCGATATACGGCCCAAACAACAGCTATTGCTATGCATAGTCCAGAGAGAAAAATACGCCTCACTTCAATGCTTTTGCCACGACACACAATCCTAAAATCAGATTGAAATAGGTCAGTTCACCCTGTAGATGAAAGGCAATGTTCACTTAATGTAAGCAATGACAAATGTTAACCACAGTCACAAGAAAGCTATTATAATATGTTTAAAGTCTTGATGTTAAATACAACAAATGTTATGGAATAAAATTTTTATCAGTTTAACAGAACTTTCTGTGGTGAAATAAATGTATGTCTGTGCTGTCCAATATAGTAACCACGAGCCACATGTGGTTATTTAGCACCTGAAATGTGGCTAATGAGAATGAATTTTTTATTTTATTTAAGTAATTTAAATTTAAATAGTTACATGCAAATTAGACTGCACAGGTTTAAAAGAACACTTCTACTTTTCCTTCTAACTACAAAGCATTGTTTGAATCACAAAAGCCAACATTATAGGATTTCTCATGAAAGATACATACGTGCATTGTCCACAAGGTATCTTATGAATTAGTGCAGCGAGACAGTTGTACAGGCTCATTGCTGATGCAATGCAGAAAATTGTTATCATAACATAAACTAGAAAAAAACAAGACACTGCATTATATGAGAACAGAAGGAAATGTGATAAAAAATATTTATACAAGCAATATTAATTCTTTACCTTTCTTATTGGATCATGACACTTTCAATACAGTGAGCATACTATAATATGAATTGGTTACTAAGCTGCAAATAATTAGATCTTGAGTTTTATTTAAGAGTGTGTATTTTCTGTGTTGTTTTAGTTCCATTAACATTGGTTAGATTGTTAAGGGCTGAAGCTGGATCTCTATTTTCTATGGTTCAATGATTCAAACTGACATGTTTGTAAATGTCTATGAAGTGAGCTGCAGACATTTGCAGAATTTAATTTAAATGTAAGGAATGGGAGAATTAATAAACCATTATAAATGCTTTTTAAAATGCAGCTTAAGGATGAGAACTGACACCTACCTTAAACATTTAACCATGTTATCTACATTTTCCTATGGTGGTATTACCTCTATTTTGACCGCTGGTAAAACAAAATCCATTTAATCCATGTTAGGGTATGATAATAAGGTAGTCAAAATTTACAAATGCTTTTTTATACTAGTTATACTTACTTGAGAATTATTTAAAATTAAAAGTATTTGATCTTTTTACTGTTGTAAAATAAAAGTATTTGTTTTTTGAGCTTTCACAAAATTTCACAATGGAAATACAGTATTACCTGAATTTTTCATATTCATTAAATTTTCAAATTCTATATAACTATAGAAAATTGTTAACTATTCCATAAGTAAGACTGGAGACAGTAAATCAGGAATAGCCACTTTTTAACTGGCGATCTTGGACAAATTACTTTTTTAGTCTCTTCTTATTTGTTATTTTTATTATTGGCTATATGTGGTAACATGAGTGGTAAGACAGACAGTCAAAGACTGCCAAGTTGAGTTTGGTAAGTCATCTATCAAAAGTCTCCAACCCAAGTTTTAAAATGCCAGTGGACTCCTGCTCTTGAGGCCTTAACAGAGGTTTCGGTGTCTCATTCAATGTTATATTTAAGAAAAATGACTAGGCATGAGAAAGAATTTGGTTACTAGACCTATCTTTAGTTTCTTTCTTGATCATGGCTTAACGTAAAATGGTAAGGGGAACCTTAGTAATTTGGTACATTTAATATATTGAGAAATGCCAGCAATTTTAGCTATAAGGAGCAATTCAGGGGCACATTAAATCTTGCATTATCATACAGACATTGTGATGTCATACAGACTTTAATACAGAATCATAATTAAATCTTATGTCCTAGGATAACCATGAAGTATAAAGATTTTCATCCTATATCAATAATTACATTTATAAACAGGTCAACTTTTTAAATAGGAAGAGTTTAAGGAAATTTCTTACCAAAAATTAAAATATGCTTTAGAGTACAGTAGAGGAATCTCTTGTTTCTATCAAAGACCACTAATACATCTACTGAGGGTCAGACACAAACTACTGAAGGCTGAGAAAAATTGGTTGCACAATGACAACATAATACAAATATTTTAGCATCCACTCTCCCAGTGAGATTGAAATATGAGTCATGGTTAAAAGAATTATTTTCTCTGATTGGAAATATATGTCATAGATCTAGTTTTTAAATTGTTGCCACAGGAAGGAGAAATTGAAAAGTAAGCTGAAACTAGCCTAAGGATCTCAATTTTCTAATCCAGAAAATTATGCTAATGTTCTCCAAATATTCACTGAAGCCTATGGTGGTTTTTACAAAGGGTTTTTTGCTAGTTCTCATTAAGCACTCTCTCTCTTTTCTATGGTCTCCCTTCTCTTTGTGCTACACATTGGCCACAAACGGCAAATTTCCATCCTATAAACGACTACGACTGTCCAGGGGATGGGTGAACTACTGCAGATGCTATCTTTACTCTTAAAGGGAAAGTGTCAGTTACTCTCTAGACCACAAGCAAGGACCTGTGTTTCTTTAGGTAGTATGATCCTGTTACCCAAAGTGAAACAAACTTTGAGCGATACAATCTTTCGATTTGTACACTAACAAAAAGACAAACTACACTTTTGGGGTAAGCAGAAACAATAAATCAGTAATTTGAATAATTTTCTATTTCATGTAACTAAATATAGCCACCAAGAAATCCTAAGTCTGCTGCTTAGATACTGGGCTATCATGCTTTATCTGCAGAGAGGGGAACTTCAGGACCACAGCAATTCTTCAAGTCATCCATGAAGAAGTATTCTTATTTCAAACTATAGTAAATTTTTAATTGGTGTATTTTTTACTCTAGAGTAATGGTGATCTAATACTTCTGACAGAGAAGTTAGTGTCACTTTTTAACTATTCACTTATATTTTTCCAGGTAGAATGCCTTAAAAGAAAAGGTACACCTGGCACAGCAAATGAAAAGACTGTGCTAAAAATAGCAGATAAAAAAGATGACTTCTTACCCAACCACTTGTAGAAGAAATAAAGTAAGACCATCATAACACAGCAGATGACCACAAATATTACAACTGTTAGAGGACTGAAAGTTAAATATTCTTCCTTCTTTCTCCTCATTTCTCTATCTTCGGCATTTGTCACTGCCTTCATGTTTTCCCTGCAAAAACATACAGGAACTTCAGCAAATCTCTGCCAAGTACACTTATTTTAAAAATCTGTCTCTAACACCAACTTAAATTTGTGCCTAACTACAAAGTAATGTACTTTTAAAAAGAAAAAGTTAATCCAGAAAGTAAAAACTCCCTATAATTCTACCCTCCAGAGATGATGTTATAAACCATTAACTTGTGAAAGAGCATTTTTTCTGGAGGCAGAACTGTTGAAAGAGATGACATTTTATGTAAGCAAATTAATGTTTGTGGATGCTCATATTATCTAATTAGGAAACCATATTGATGCAGTAAGTTTCAAATGATAAGCAATTCTTTTTACACACTTAATATTACCAACTTACAGTAAAGTAGTACTTCTATAACTAGCTTCTCTTAAATGTAAACACTAAATTCTTCTATCAGCCAACTCAGTATTTATTATATGCCTGTTCTATGCTCAACAATGTTATTATGAAGGATTCAAAAGATGTTCAAAACGTAGCTTTGCCCTACCTTGATTTAAGATAGCAAAATTTTGTTTCTAATTCTCCCAACAACCCTGGCTAGGCCACACAGCTAATAAAAGAGAGAGAGAAACTGAAAAGGAAAGAGTCACAAGTGTCCTTTGTTGAACAGTCTGTTCTGTCATATCATTGCTTCCTCCCAGTAATATGTAATCCACTACATACTTTTCTAGCTCCCTTCAACTCTGGTCTACTAAACTCTGTTCCCTTTGCATACACCCTGATCCCTCCATCAGATCAGGGCTCAATACAAACTTTAGGTTAAAAAACAGTTTATTTCTATTAAACTATACATTAGCCAAACTGCTTATTTAACCAACATGCCACTTACTAGAAAACTGTTGACTGGGATGGCCACTATATTAAGCATCTGTTGATGCTAGGGTGGCTGCCTGGGGAAAGAGCAGGGAGAGAGACACACCAGCACCTCCCCAAAATTGTACAGCCGGATGATAACAGAAGTTTCAATGAAAGTGGTAACTTACTGGGAAAAAGGTACCAACCTTTGGTAGCTATCATTGTAAACAATATATTTAAGGACATTTTTATCAGAGTAAAGATATAAGCCATAATAATGAAAGACATATATTCACATTTAGCATACTAAAAAGCACCAGGCAATTTCTTGAAGGGAAAACATATACTAGATTTATATCAGGTTAAAATACAATTTGTCTTTTAAAAAAATTGTACTCTTATATCAGCTCAAGAGCCACATGCAGTGGGAAACTAAGCTTCCTTCCATGCTATCTTGAGCTTATGAAGCCCAAGGACTGGTGATCTCATTACAGTAAGACTAACTCTCTACTTAAAAGTCTTTTTATGGAACCAAGGTATCTTTCCCTTTTGTGTAAGGTACATCTTTCATTTGGCAGGGTAATTTTGGGTTATGAAGTTCTATTCTGGCAAAGTTTTCCTTCCCTAACTAGCCTTATTCTCTTTCCATTTCTTTTTCAATCTAACTCTCTTTACTTACTAAATGCAAGTCCTTTTGCTTTTTAAAACATTAAGATATAACTTATATACATTATATTAATTTCAGGTATATAACATGATTTGATATTTGTAATGTTGCAAAATGATCACCCAAATAAGAACAGTTAACAACCATCACAATTTACACCTTTTTCTTTTGATGAGAACTTTTAACATCTATTTTCTTGGTAACTTTCAAATGTACAAATATTGAAATAACTTTCAAATATAGTGGTAATATAGTATTTCCACTATAGCCACCAAGCTGTACATTACACCCCCATGACTTATTTATTTTATAACTGGAAATTTGTATCTTTTGACCACTTTCACCCATTTTGTCACTCCCTACCCCTCACCTTCCTGTCCCTGGTAACCATCAATCTGTTCTCTGCATTGATGAGCCTGTTTTTTTTTTTTTTCCTTAGACTCCACATATCAGTGAGATTATATGGTATTTGTCTTTCCCTGACTAATTTCACTTAGCACAATGCCTTCAAAGTCCATCCATGTTGTTGCAAACGATCATTAAGTTCTTAATAATTCTACTTTCTATGGAACTTTTTTCTTTCTATTATTGATTCACATTCTCTTTATACTGTCAGCTCCCTCCTACACACACACACTTAGTTCTAACTTTATTTTACTCTTGGAATCATTCACTTCAATTTCAAAATCCATAATCCTGCAGGTAAAGGACATCTCTCCCAATCTGGCTGTTGGAAGCAATACATTCTTTGTTTTTGCCTATCAGCATTTCTTTATGAATAAAAAAGCTTTATGACTCCTCTCGCACCTCCAATTTTCTTGAGGAGCAGCCTGCCCTGAATGAACATGAGACTTTCTTTGCTAAATCTGACTGTGGTCCATGGGTCGCAAAATCACTTGGGAACTTGTTAAAAATGCAGAATCTTGGCCTCCATCCCAACTCTAGTATGCACATTACAGTTTGAGAAGCACTATTTGCAGAGAAGAAATAATTTACATACTAATGGGAGTATAGTGAGAATCTATATTAAATGGGAAAGCATTTTCAATGAATCAGTAGCTTTTGGTAATTATTTGCATAAACTTTCACCAAATAATCTAAAAGTGATCTTGGAGATCTTCTTACATACTATGCTTTCTAAAAATTAATAATAAAGAAAAAAACAATGCTTATTCACATGAATTTTAAATTCATGTGATAACTAACATCAAATCATGTTATATACCTGAAATTAATATAATGTGTTATCAGTTATATCTTAATGTTTTAAAAAGCAAAAGGACTTGCATTTAGTAATTTAAAGCTCAATACTCAAGGAACCTATACTTGTTAAACCCTAAGATTCTTCTTCTCTTGATCTAAGTCAACCAAATTTTAGTATTTTAAATAATCACAAACAAGCTTAGCTTCATTTAGTTGCAAATAAGCCCTTTTTAATGGAACTTATAGATCAATTCAAAGGTGAATAAATGGTCCTTGATACATGAAATAATATGCTCTGGGCACATTTTAAAATTAAAAGTTACAAGTATGAAATGATCCTCCTATACGGTATTGCCTTCTTCAATCTGAAGCCAAAGGTACAAAACTGTAAGAAGATTCAGCTTAGGTTATCATATGGGTAAACCTCAATTTTATGTACATTTGGAATTTCTATATTAAATTAAAACACAGACATTCTTAATATCCTTAGAATTCCTAAAGCATTAAATAGAATGATGAGGTCACACTCTAATAACTGAACTCAGGAAGACCCAAAAACACCCCTCACCTTCTCATGCTTATTTTCTTAATAAATAGGCACATTAGGACACTAAATATCTTCACCTTTTCTAGGAGACATAACTAAGTCTTTTAATTAACAGGACTGTTTGCTGGAATTTCAATGATTTCCTGCTAGGAGAAGAGTCAGAGGAACCCATGACTCTCTTCTTCCTAGTGAAAAGTTAAATGCCCTATGTGAGGGCAAACTGTAAACTGACTTTATCTGCACTATATATTCTGAGAATAGGTAGAATTTTAAATATTTTTATATGATGAAAATGATTATCAAACAATTTCTTAGCCATTTATCACAAAAACACTGAAGTTTAATTAAACTTACAATTCAATTAGTCCACTCCAGTATCCTCCTAATGCCACCGTGAACACAGCAATTACAAAAATAACCACCATAGTATAGTCAAAGTTAGGCCATGATGGACTATACATTTTCACAGTAATGTTATCTCCGAGTGTCTGAAAGAAGAAATTAGATAAAACATCAAAATTTGTTTTCTTTCTATTACAGTGTATAGCAGCAATATTCCAATTTAATCTGGAATGGACACTATACATCAGTCAAGAATACTAGAACTGTTTTTGACAATATGATATATTCTCTTGTCAAAATAATGAGGCTATGCTTTGTCTTATTAAATCTTTACAATGTAGTGTTCTACACATTCACATATTATTCTAGGATTTAAAATTAAGACAAATTTTGACAGAGAGATTTTTTTTAAGAAGTCAAATAAATATACCCTTTCTGAAGGCAGGGCTCTGAGACACCTTGTGTTAGATGGGAGGTGAATACTTGTCAATAAAGACTTGAGAGGCCTTTTAACTTCTTGGTAGCAAATAGAGCATATGTAATAACTTAAATATCAGTGGTTAAAAGTAAAGAGCTGTACTATTTATAAATCTTGTCTAATATGTTATTACTAGTTTACCTGCTTCATATCCTTAAAGTCTTTGCGGTTTATAAATGTAATCAGTATTTTCACATCATGAAATTCAGATTTGTTCCCTGAGGGAGGAAACTAAAACAAACAAACAAAAAAACACATATTATGAAAACTATGGGAAACTACTAGCATATATACAGAATAAAATACAAATTATTCCATTACATATATATGTTTAAAGTTATAAACAGTTTCATGTCTTCTCTCAATATTATAGTAATAATTCTTAAACTGAAATTCCTTTAGCATAAACTTAAACTGATTATATATTCATGTGTATGCATATATATATATATATGTGCATGTATACCACACACACACACACACACACACACACACACACACACACACACACGTGTGTATTTGTTCCTAATGAAATCTTGTCTACTTTAGGAATAGGAAAGTAACTATGAAATTTCCCTACTAATGTCTATCATAACCAGAATGTTTATCTAAAAAGAATCCTATCATCAGATTATTCAAAATTCAGATCCTAAAAAACATACAAAGAAGATAGTTCAATTCCCATGAAATCTGTTACCATGAGCTCAAAAGTTAACATAGTTTTATAACTTACGAGGACACTGTTATTGGCAACCAACAATGCTTCAGCACCTCCTGTTTGTGCAATTCTGGCTTTTTCAAGAAAATGGCAGTTTCCCCACTGTACCACAACTGCCTTGTTCTTTATTCCACTAGGAGGAATATCAGAAAGGTTGCACAGTGGCGTGGCAGTCAGATTCATCAAACTAATGGAAGTCTGAAAAGAAGAAATATCTTTAACATGATAAATGTCATATTTCACAATAAATGTTTTCAGTAACAAAGTACTGATACTGGTTTAATACAAGGTTCTTTCAAAATACAAATACTTTATGACAATCAGGGTTTGAGATAAATATTTTTAAAAACTCTGTTTTTCCCACAGAGAGAAATTTAAGCAAAAGCAATAATTATTATTTATTATTCATCATATATTATACCTAGTTCATACACTGAAATGTAACAACCATTTATTCTCACCTCTCAGTATGTTTATGTCTACAAATAAATAGTAACTGATTTACTTACTGCATTTTCTAGGGTATGTGGAAGAGCTGTCCAGTGAGGATTATACAGTATGCAGTAGTCCTTAGATGGTAAAGGGGTGCCATTTCCAGACGCATGCAGGATTGCTTCCTGAGCAGCTGTCTAGGACACCAACAATAATGTTCACACTGGCAATAATTTGGCTTGCCAACAATTAAGGTATTAATAAAGCTATTAAATACAGGTGTGACTCTATTTCCTTAAGAGGGCATGACTTCTAATGGATTTATTTCCTCTTGTTTGAGGAAATACTGAAACTATACACATTTGTCCAGACATATTCTTTAAAGATGACCAGACTTTCTTATGAGGATTCAATTATGGCCCTTGTTAAAAGGGCCTTAACCCAGGGAGGATTCTTGCTATGATGCGGTAACTTCAATACTCTTTTTGCAGCCTGAAATTTTCTTTACCAATCTCTTAGGAGATGATGTTCCATAAAAGAAAATGCTCTTAAAATCTCTCAACTGTGTTACTTTCCATTTTCTACAAGTAACTAGGGTAAAGAAAGGGTACGTTATTATTCCTAAATGCTATCTTCAGAAGAGAATCAGAGAAATTGGAATTTTCAAGTTTTCAAGATGCTGCAACTGCCTATTCAAAAAGACCAATCCAGAATTTAAAGTAAGGAAAAAGAGTTAGAAAATATTTTTTCCTTTTGCCTCATTTCCCACTACCTGGAAAGAAAAGAGAGGTAAAAAGTGATTAAAAGAATAACATTCTAAGACAATCAGAATACAACTCCACATCACAATTCAACTTTAAACTTGGATCAATTCAAACCCTTCCTCTCTCCTTTAAGCAAACCTTTCCCAAAAACATAAGGGAGAAAAGATTGCTTAGCAAAAAAGACAGTTGTATACAAACAAAAAGCAAATAATCCAATTAAAAAATGGGCAGAGGAGCTGAATAGACAGTTCTCTAAAGAAGAAATTCAGATGGCCAACAGGCACATGAAAAGATGCTCCACATCGCTAATCATCAGAGAAATGCAAATTAAAAAACAATGAGATATCACCTCAAACCAGTAAGGATC